ACAGTCAGGGAAGGAAATCAAAGGGCCACTAGAATTGCCTTGCTGACATAAATGTTCTGCGCAATGTGAGGAATGATAGTTGTTGTCGGGGTAAAGGTACGTACGTTAAAAAAAAAAAAATCTTAATTTTGAACTTTCTTAAAAAGAAGCCATCGCGACGTGATCTGATAAGGGCGAGCGATGCGGACGTATTCGCGCCCCCGCGGATGCGCGAGCAAGCTGAAAGCGCTGAGATGCCTCTCGCTGTTTCTGGGGTGTGCGTCTCCACGGAAAAGCAGATAGAAGGAATGCGGGATACGTTTTGGGAGCGAGCATGCAGGTATGAATCTGGAAAAAAAAAAACTGGAATGTTTCCATCTTGGTATGTTTATTATTATCAAAAGAAGTGAATCCCAAATGATGTCATGCTGTTTGGACCACAGTCGAAGTTGTGTGCTGGCTCACATCGTCGGGAAATAAGAACGCAGATGTTGACAGATGCTTGTGCACCTTTTGTGGGATTTACGGTCATTTTGATGACGTGCCCAAGTTTGTATGATTATTTTAATTTTTTTTTTTTTTAATTGTCGAAAGATCACCAAAGTACGGTTTTGGTGAGTCATGGGCGATCGTGGCCTTTGTGCTTCTTCTTGACTGTGAGTGGAGATGACACGGTTGAATTGCTAAACCACGTTCGCTTATGCTAATTTCGCAGCTCTGGGGAATTGGGCGAGCTTGTTCTATTAGCTCGGGGCAACGTCGGACACGCCGAAGATCTGTGGGGCGCCAGCTGCCAGATACTCAATTCTTTTAACCCGCGTCTCTCCGGCGAGGCTATTAGAGGTGAGGCTCATGCCGAGGGCGCCTCCTCGGGGCAGCGCGTCCCAACAAAATCATGTCGATGCCGTTGATCGACCACCTTCATGTATTTCTGACCTAAGGCTCTGAATTTTAGCCAATTGAAAACCAGATTCAAGTCTTCAATTTTTATAACCCCCCCCCGCAGAAAGGCACTGTAGCAACGATTGCAAATGGGATTGGAAAAAAAAAAGATTCAATCTTGGCCGGCAGGTTGCCTTGTCTGCACACGAGCATTTTTCCTCATCTTCTCAAAAGTCGTGCAGTATCGAGCAGAGCGCGCGCACGCCCACACATCACGACTGCGCGATCGATAGATCGGATCGCGTGGGGAGCTGCGGGCTAATCGCCCTCGGCGGGAGTCGACGCGCACAAATCCATCGGACACTTTGACTCCGAGTCCATCTGCGCAGTGCCGCTGTTTTCGCCTCACGTGTCGGGGAGAGCCGACAACCTCTGACTTCTTTTTGATTTCATGTGAGATGATTATGTGTGTGAACGTTTGCACATCAAGCCTCCAAAGTCGGATGCCTGGGATTGCGCCCACTCGCCCCCTTTGCACGCCACTGAAGCATCCATTTTATAAAAACAGATCATCATCATCATCATCATCATCATCACAAATGCTAGTCAAGCCTTTGTCGTATTTCTGATTCCAGTCAGGAAGGCCAAATCTTTTTGTACAACTTTTCCTCTCTCGTTACCTTTTGCCGCTAGTCTCCGAGGGCGCGAGTGAAACTCAGTTCAAGAGTTTGCTTTCGAGGGATTTCTTTCTGCCTCCCGCCCCCCCCCCTCTATCCAGAGGTTTCAGTGGGAAGTACAAAGCAACGAAAAATATGCCGGCGGAATTTAATCTGGATCAAGCGAAGCCGACAGCTTCCGTAATGGATGTGGGATTTCCCGGCGGCGCGCCGGCGCCGTCCTGCAAGCGCAATACCAAATCGAATCCCTCATCACTAATTGTTCACGGGTTAGCTTGTTGGGAGCTCAGGTGGAGGATGCGAAGAAATCATCCCGCTGTCGAGATTTATCGTTGAATGTCATGGAAATGGAGATATTTGGTCAGGTCTCCGAAAGAAAACCGCATCGGCCCGCTCGCGTGGAAAATTAGATAGATCGCGTTTTGGTCAAGCGGCATTTGTCTCGTCAAGCAAAGTTATTCTCGGTTCCAAGTTAGCAACTAATAATAATGAAATTGGGATCAAATAACTTTTTTGTACAAAACACACCGGCTGTAAATTCCGCATGATGGAACAAGATTGCCGTAAATCCTCCAAAGGTGGTGCAGGTTAAAATGTACGATTGTACCTTGGCGTCAACTGGTGTATTTGTGCAAACAATTGCGTGCTTGCCTCCGCAATCGTATGTAGGCAGGCGGACCGGACGTTTGTGGGTGAAAGCAGCCGCCGCCTTAGTTCGGAGACCTTGTCTTCGGCATTCAGCATCTGCTTGTATGCAATTTCTCCTCGTTCTCCGTCAAAGCTACAAAGCCGACTCGGCAATTTTGCGGCCTCCGACGGTCGTAGTAAAGCTGCAAAAGAGACAAGATGACATCCAGAGTCGCTTTAATTTCTTCCGTGTGTGTATAAATGCGAGGCAGTTGGAATTTGACAGCTTTGAAGGTAGTATCAGAGCCAGTAGCCCCTTTCACGCCCGCCGTAAAATGCTCCATTTTCTGCTCATTTTTCGATTTGCCCGCTCTTTACGAGTGGCGATCAGCATGCGAGGGGAGGGCCAAGTCTTTCTTTTGCACCTCTGGCGCCGGCGCCCGACTTGATTCAGTCTCACTCTGAGAGCTTTTTGCCTCGTCCTTGTGCATGCGTTGACTTCTTTTGACATGAAAGCAGACGGCAATTTCTTTATTGGATGCAAGACCAACCGTCCCTTCGACGCGTCTTTCTCGGAGAAACCCGACCCCAGAGAGTTCAAAGGCGGCGACTGAAGAAGAGCTTCCGTTATAATCCCGGAGAGTTTTTTTCAGAGAGAGTTCTCCAAACATTTGGGCGGGCGCTTGAGAAGAGAGCAAACGTCTTCGGAGGGTCTTCGGGGACCGACCGCCCCGCTCCGGGACCACCTGGGAACAGACGCCGCTGTTAATTGCCGGGATTTGGGACCGCGCGCCCTCCCTGCTCATTTTTAAAGCAAATATTACATTTTACAAGTTGGCTGGAAAAAAAAAAAGGGAAAGACTTTTGGATTTTCCAAAGTCACACCGACACCTTAGTTGGCGTCAAAGTAGGTGCTGCCGTTTTGAGTCCAAATGGGCTCAGCGGTTCACTCTTTGGTGCCCGTGTGCGGACCACGTCGTCAATGATCGGAAAAGGGATTTGTTCATTACGCGTTGAATTATTTTATGCTAATTGGATGACACACCCAATGACTAATATGGGTCATTCATTCATTTTTTTTACTTTTTAAACTCTTGCGCATCCCGTTCTGGCCCAGTGTTGTACCTTCTTCCTGGTCTCAAGCGCTCACGGTCAAATCGTCGTCTGCTGGACCGGGGAGCACCCTCGTCACGCCTTTTCCACGACTGTCGGACAAACGGCTCGTTATTCGGCCAACGTTTTCTTCATCTGCGCAAAGATCGGGGAAGACGATCAGATCGCCGCCTCAACACTTTGAGGCACGGCAAGGCCCCGTTCATCGCAGGGGATCCGTTTCAAACCCAGTTTTTGTACGTGCGCTTAAAAAAGCGGCTGCTTTGAAGGTTCGTCAGTCTATGACGCCTTGTTAGCATTAAGCTAAGTGACTTTGATTCTGCAAAACAATACAGTTGTACGGTAAACTGTGAGCGGGTCTGAAACGCACCCCTGCGAGATCAACGGGGGTTCACTCGGACGAGGCGTTGCCGACGCACCTTGCGAGGGCGGCGTCAATCGGTGCCCCGGTTGAAGCGCTCCAGCACGGTGGCGTTGGTCCTCTCGAAGAGCCACTGCTGACTGAGCAAAGACGGGTCGCACGAGTTCATGAAGACGCGGCGCTCGCCGGGGCTGCCGTCCACGCAGCTGTTGCTCACCGGGTGGTACAAGCTCTTATCCTGAGCGGTCATGTCAATCAATCAATCAATCAAGACAAACTGTATTAGTACTTGTTCCTCACTACGGCAGATCGACTCGTCGTGCACCTTTCGGTAGCGCCACAGCTGGTTCCCCTTCATGCCGTGGCAGTCGTAGAGGGTGACGAGGCTTCTGTGGGAGACGGCGTCAAGGCAAACCTTCCTGGTGTGCACCGGGTCGCCCACGCGAATGTCCTCGCGCCAACCCAGCGTTAGCACCTGCGCGTCGAAAGCCAACGTAGCAGCGGCGGCGGCGGCAAACGCGCAAGCAGGATTTGGGCGGAGATGCATCGGCGTGAGGAGCCCACCTGCCCGTGACTCCAGGCCACGTCGCCGCGGCTTTTGGCGCAGTTCTCCAAGCGCACGGGGCTGCCCGACACAAAGTGTTTGACCTCCATGCACATGTCGCTGCCCACGTTGCGGATCTGCGGACGATCCAACGCGGCAAGTCAGTCAGCGGAATGAATCCTACAATGAGGATGGTTCTCTGTCTTTGTAATACAGACAGGCAACGACAACCCTCGTATTATTTTGGGATTTTATTGAATAAATAATCAATTAAATTAATTGGGAATTTCTCCATTGCGAGACGAATAAAGGTTTTCTTATCTTATCTTATTGTATCGATTACATGAAAGAGCGGGGCCCTCGAAGACTGGAGTCGGTGACCCCCCAGCCCCTACACCAATGTCTACCAGACCCACCTGCCACACAATCTAAACTTGAAGCCCCCCGCAGAGTCGCATTTTCCCGGCGCCGCGCAAAAGAGGGAAGCGCGCTTGCATCCGCTCGTCTTGCAAACACGTTTCATCACTCTCCCGCGTTTCCGCCACCGTTCTGCTTTGCCAGTGCCGCGGGCGCACCCGCATCAAACTCCGAGAGTGGGACGTTTACCTCGCCCCAGGCGGCGGCGGGGGGCTCCACGGGCGGGTAGTGCTCGGGCAGATCCCAGGCCACCTCGCTCATGAACCACTTGAAGTTGTTGCACGCCAGGCGGCTCCGCAGCTCCTTCTGCGCCGTCATGTCGCCCGCCGACAAGTGGCGGTACTCGGGCCGCCGCCGGTACACGTACTCGGCGTACTCGTCCATCCACACCTCGGCCACGCGCTTCAGGTTCTGGGAGAGGAGGCGACAACGGGCCGGTTGTGCGGCTTCGTCCGGCGAAACGTGCGCGCGCCGCGAAGCCTTACCTTGGCTAAGCTGATCCCGCCGGGGACCTTGTAAGGGACGTACTTCCTGTAGATGTGCCCCACCCTGGAGCACGGGATGTCCTCCATGCGCCCGCCGCACATCCACAACTGCCGAGAGAGCATCCGGCTTGTTAACGGACGTTTGGCGATTTCTGAAGAGGGGTTCAGTCCTGGCTGAGAGTTTCAAATGACCGTTTCAAGCCAAGTGTTGCATTTCAGATTTGAGTTGCAAGCCTGGAAGTAGGAAGAAGGAAGTTCCAGGGAAGGATATTTGCTTTTCAAACCTGGGTTAAGGTTTTAGGTCCGGGGTCGAGTTTCAGTTTTAAGTATGTGTTTGGGTGTCAAAATAGGATTTCGTGCCGGGGTTCTGGTTTCAGCTGAAGACGGAAATTAGGGATTCAAATGAAGGAATCTAGCCTCTAGAATTTAGGTTTTTTTTTTTTTTTTTTATTTCGGCTTTCACGTCTATGCAAAGGTTTCAGTTAATAGTTTGGGTTCCAAATTCGGGTTTCAAGTCTGGTTTATTGTTTCAGGTCACGGTTTGGGTGTCAAATTCAGGTTTGGATTCAAGTTATCATTTGGATTTTGAATGAGAGTTTTCAAGCCAGGCTGCAAATGGGATTTCGGCATGAGCAGTCGCGGCGTGGCTGTGTTAACATTAGCACTGCACTGCACTGCATTGCACTGCACACGCACACACACACACACACACACACACACACGCACACACACTAGTGCATGAATAAAAGATGTAGCTGGAAGACAAACTCTGGGCTCAGAAAGCGGACTCGGTCTCTAGTCTCTGGTTGCGCTTGCGTGTATAAATAAAACATCAAGTATGTGCGATGTCCAATCACTTCCTGTGCTATTTGACTCACAATAAAAATAATAATAATAATAGCACGGCAGCTGGCAGCAGGTCGCGAACGGCCATCAATCGCCTCCAGTTGTCGGCCGCCCGCGCGCCCTCGCCTGCAACGGCGCACGCGTCCGTTTGGGTGGGGACAGAGGTGCGATGTCGGCCGCCACCAACCGATGAAAAAAATAAATAAATAAATAATAAAGTCAACAATGTTGTGAACTATTTCTCCGCCGAGAGATGACTGTATCATTGGGTTGCCATGGAGATGAGCCTCGGGGGGCCGTTACAAACATCATGAACAACTCTTCAAAAAGAATTCCAATTGAGTTTTACTGTCAAAGCAAAAATAAAACATTGAACATAACTTTGCCTTCCAAAAGTCCCCAAGCTGAAAGCTAACCCACAATAAAAAATGTCACAAGTGTGCTAATGGAACTAGCGTCAACATGGTGGTCGTTATCACCCTTTGAGCAGTGGCCATTTCAACACACATGATACAAGTACTACACTGCCCCCTGGTGGACAAGGCACACACAATTTAAGGAGTAGCACAATGTCAATGGGCAGTGAAGCATGAAAACACGACGCACAGTTCCTCAAATTCTACTTGATTATGAATTTACTGTCTGGTACAATTCAACCGAGTGAGATTTTTGATTCAAAAACATGTTTGAAAAAAATATGCTAGTGGTTTTTGAGGCAGTGGAATGGATTCATGGCATTTGTGTGCTGACTATTCGCTGATGGATGCTATTGCGAGCGGTTAGCCGGCCGAGTATTCTGCACGACTGTCCGGCCGGCTTCAAGTCGTGATGTTATCTGGGTGGTGTGAGCGTGTAAGGCTCGGCGTTCTCATCGCCGGCACGCAGGCAAAACGAAAGAGCGGTGGCGGCTGCGTGTGGAGCCAGCGACTGCGTCGCGGGGTTTGTCGGGATTAGCGCAAGAGTCTGTTAATCTTCTCACCTCAGGAGAACGTCAGCGCGAAGCCTATCGGCTGATGGGGATCTTCATAAAAATAAATAAATAAAAAAAAGGGCAAGCCAAATTGAATATTGCTGGGCTGGGCGGATTTAAGACTTACGCGGCCGCCGCTAGCCACACGTTAGCGCTTGAGCAAATTGGTGACTCATTCTTTCCTGGGCTCGGCTATCAAAGCGGGTTTGGGTTTTAACTGTGAACCGGCCGATAATCACTCCGACGTCGAGGTGGCGTCGCCTTGGATTTTACCTTGAAAGAGATCTCGTACTGCTCTCCTCCCCAGATCTCCAGCCCCGCGTCGTAGCCTCCCAGATCCCAGAACCACTTCCTGTCCACGGCGAACAGCCCGCCCGCCATCACCGGGGACCTGCGACACACAAATGCCCAAGTTACACACAAACTCACGTGCACGGCCATAAGACACGCTCACACATGACTCACGCGTGCAAGATTACCCTCATGCACATGTACATTCTAGACACACACACAGTACAACCACAAGCACAGATTACTCACACACAGACTGCTCTGGAGTGAGCATGTCGAAAAAGCCGCACTCTGGCGAAAGATCTTCAAACGGCGTTGAGCGTGCCAGTGCGATGTTTACGGGGGTAGTGACTGTCGCATTTAGATAGGAAGCCGCTTTGAAGAAGCAATTAACCCGCCGCAGCTTTTGCAAGTCGTACACCTTGTTAGCGGCGCAAGTTCTCTCGCGCGCTATTGTTTTGGCCCGCCGCTACACCCGAGACACACAAACGAGCCAAGCAGGTGCTCCCGCGACTTCACTTCAAAGTCAGGCAAACTTCCTTCGTCGCCCCAGCTCAACTTGACGCGTTTCGCCTGGACGCCTGATTTGAAACCGTACAGCGAAGTGCTTGAAAGAAGGGTTTGGATTTCAAATTAGCATTTCAGCTCAGGATGTTTGATAACCACTTTTGTCAGACTGATACGAGCGCGAGTATTCACTCTTTGAGTACTCACCGATACCAAGTACCGATACTTTTAATGCTTTGGATATGTCACATTTCATTTGTGAACAAAAGACCTTTCATTCTGACGCCCATGATGACTCGCCGTGCAGGATAGCGCCAACTGCTGCCGAGGAGGACTTACATGATGTCAGATTTAATTATTATTATTTTTTTTTTTACCTTAAGTAATCGTGTCTGGCAACCGTTAGCTTAAAACAGGGCTGGTATCAAGACTCGCCCATTCCTAATTTCATGCATATTTTAACATTTGAAACCTGGGTTTGCATTCCAAGTTGGAATAGGATTCTTCGATGAGGATTTGAAACCGCGGATTAGGTTTCAAATTCTGATTGAGAGCTTGCATGGATGCAGTTTCCGCAAACGGAAAAAGCCAAATGTCAAGCTTCGCACTTGCTGGTCTCTGTGTTGTTCATGATTGGTTATCGTGCGCATCCCCGGTAAACACAGACGGGCAGAACATCCTTCAAACCCCCACAGGCAGTTGCCATGGTTACGTGCGTTTCATCAGGTGGGCATCGGCATCATCCGGCACGTACTCCGCTCCGGCCAAAGTGGTCCCCGAGGAGGCTCATTTAAAGGCACGAGCTGGTGCCGACAATCGGCCGGCGGGGTCCCCGCGGCCCCCGCGCGCTGATGACAAAGTGACGTTTCGATTAGCCCGCTCGCGGCGCTCGTAGTAACTCGATCCCAACTTACATTTTGGATGACTGATGACAGCACAGCGTTCATGATGACGACTGTGGTCATTATTTCCATTTGCGTTCATCCTATCGGAGCAATTAGTTTCGAATCCAGACGTATCGTTTTTACATTTCCGTCTGCATATTTCTGCGTGCATTCCAATTAATTTTTTTCAAGCTGGGGTTTAGCTTTCAAGTCCGTTTTTTTTTTAAGGCTGTTTAAGGGTTTGAAATTCGTCCACTAAATGCAAAATATTAATCAAGTGAGCGGAAGATTTCTTTTTGTGCTTTCCCTGTGCGGACAAATTGTGTCAATCAGAAGTCGATGTTTTTCTCTTTTAATACCGACAGCGGCTGCACTGTGCGCCTGCTGCAATGTCGGCCACCCTCCCCCCTCGAGACTTATTTCCCGGGCGCCAATAGGACAGAAAAGGCAACGTTTTTATCAGAGTGACCTTGTCTCGTTGTCAGCCGGCGTCCGACGTTTGCGCCGGGGCAACGAAAGCTGTCACACTGTCTGCTTTTCAGCTTCAGATAATCACAAAAAAAAACCCCCGAAGTAGTGCCTCAAAAGAGCACATTTGAAAGGTTATCGTGGGCGCCGTTTTTCCGATTCAATTTCATACGAAATGCGTCACTCACTCGAAGGGCTCGCTGGGGTCGTCCTTCTGCAGGCGGGCGGGGATGGGGATGCGCTTGTAGTACATCTCCCAGTCGAAGGCCCCGCGCATGGCGTCGCCGGCCTGCGCGTCGTAGCCAAAATTGTCGTGGTCGATCACGTCGATCATCGGGCACACCACCGTCCTCCGGTTCTGGGCGATTCGGTCTGAGAAGATGACAACAGCTAAAAATATACTTGCCAGGCCAGTGAACAAGGTCAAACGAAATCCAGCAACAAGGGCTGCATCATGAATCGAATTTGAATTGTGATCGTGATTTTTGCTGCCACAATTCAATTCACCTGATTTTTTGCCGATTAAAATAAATAAATAAATAATGGAATCTGCTGCACATGCAGTGAAGAATTAAAGTACAGCAAAAACTGGAAATGAGGAGCTAAGGATAAACATTTTCCCCCATATGGTGAATAATTCGGATCACAATATTGATCAAAATAATCGTGATGATCATTTTGGCCATAATCGCGCAGCCCTTAGTTGAACATGAACACGCACGCACACACACAACGTTGTGGGATGACCCCGTGCTCAGAATCGACTGCAACATGGGGTCTGTGCTGCTGTTTTGGTTCGCAACAGAGCGGAAACGGGCCCTGCAATCAACCGGGCCTTCCGTTCCTCACCGAGTAGCGGCGGCAGCCAGTTGACGTTGGCCTCGCAGTGCGAGTCCAGGAAGGTGATGACCTGGGCCTTGGCGGCGCTGGCGCCCAGCAGCCGGGTCCGGATCAGACCCTCCCTCTTCTTGGTCCTCAGGATGCGCACTTTGGGCAGGCGCTCCATGTACTCCTCCAACGCTGCCTTCAAGTGCTCTGGGGGTAAAGGAAAGAAAGGACGGAGGTCATTTTGACCGTTTTCGGTCATTCCATGCCATGCGTGGACAAACTTGATGAATCGGTTCTTAGTAGAGTGTGATCTCAAATCAGATTCAAATGTAGAAAAAAAAATGGAGGCCAGGTGGGACGCCACAGCACGAGCTCACCCTGCATACCGCCATCCTTAAGGTTAACTTTTTTCGTTCAGTTTCTCTTCTACATTAAAAAAAAAACAAAAACAAGCAACAGCTGCCTTTAGGTCGGACTTTGGACAGCAGTCTTCCATTACCGCCATCCTTAAGGTTAACTTTTTTCATTCAGTTTCTCTTCTACATTTAAAAAAACAAAACAAAAACAAGCAACAACTGCCTTCGGGTTGGACTTTGGACAGCAGTCTTCCACGCTATAAAAAGTGACATTGCCATGAAGGACAGGAGGGCTTGGCAGGGTCAAAGCTGTAAGGGGGGGAAAAAAAGCCCTATAAATCAAAGCAGGAAAAAAAAAGAGCATTAAAGCCTGAGTGGCAAATTAATTCTCTCATGAGACGAGACTTTAGAAAGGGTGGAAGGGGGGGGGGCGCGCCAAGATCAGCACGTTTAATTGTGATTGGTTCATTTTCCCTTGGAAATAAATTGGAATACGGCTCGGTGTTTACCCAACACAAGGAGACGATTAATCACGCTAATGAGCGCGCGGGAAAACGGCGGCAAACACATTAGTCTCTATTAGAAAGCCGGTCGGCGGACGCGGCAGGTCACCGAGCATCTCGAATGGCAGAGGAAGGAGAAAGGCGGCCGCTCGCAAGGTAGACGAGTCGATTTGGGGGAATCAAGTAGAAGCGGCGAAGTGTAATATCGCCTGGTTGACGCAAAGCCCATCAGGCTGCGATAACCAAAACAGCAGCACCTCCAGAGGCTCCTAAGCAGTCTTTTAGGCATGCAGGCTAAATACAAGCACACTTGAAAGGAATATGTATTCACTCGTCATGGATTTGTGTGTCGTCTTGCATTCCGTTGTGTCTTTCGAGAATAAAAAGCGTGCTCGATTGGGTTGCGGTCAGGTGATTGACTTGAGCGGGCACGTTCATTGCTTGCACCCCATTCGGAAGCAATCGATACTTTTGTCAATGTGGCACCGCCAAGAGGAAGCACTCGAGGGCCGAGCGTGCCGCCACTTTATGTCTCCTTAATCGTCGCCATTAAAGGATATCGACACATCGGAGGCGAGCGGGCACGGAGTGAACAAAAAAAAAAGAAATATATTTTTGACTTGCTCGGAGTTGCTCCCTTGAATTTCCTGATACAACGCATCCGTGTGTTAACAAGTGCCTGTAAGGGGTGTGGCCTAGTGAGTGACATCACGGGGTTGGCGCTTCACTATGTAATTAACTCGATGCCGATCCGTGCTCCTTGCGAGAGCTTTCATTTTGTATTTGTGTCTTTTGGCTTTTTGTCCCGATCAAAAGACTCAACGACAACTCCGGGATGTGAACTTGATCTGCAGACCGATTTCGAGCCATCGGATTATTCGCGGAGGCACCGAGGATAAGAATGACTGCTGGAACTTAACGCTGACGATGGCGTGGAGGGCTGCGCGGCGGGTGTTGCTTACCGCGCACGTAAACTAGCTCGCCCCTCCACAAAGACATTCCGATCGATCGGCGCTCGCTGACATCGGCTCGGCGTCTCTCTCGAAGCGCTGTCGCTCAATTATCTGCTTTTGTCACGTCGCGTCGCATGCCGACCTCCCGCCTTTGCCGTCACACTGTGCCGAGCGCCCTTACTGCATTATCTAAGCCACACACACGCGCACATGATGTTCTGGCACAGGCTGATGAATAAACATGCGCGTTGTTGGCAGTGGTGTAAAAAAAAACCTGGGGTTTTTTTTCTTTTTTTTTTTTTTTTTTTTTTTTTGCTGCCGCTGTTTCGCCCGCCCTTCCGCCGCTAAATGATCATTTCCGATCACCGCAGCTGGTGTGGCTGAGGGCCGGTTTGAGTGGCTCTTGACAGCAGCCTCCTCGGCCTCGAAGCCCCCCCAACCCCGCCCACGCCCACACCCACACCCACACCCACACACACACACACACACTCACTCCTAATGAAACCGTCTTGGAGGTGGAAATCAGTTCATCAAATGCTGATTGGGTCATTTATAGCGCTTGAGGAACAGCGTGCTTTCTATACCGACCGGGTCAGTACCTCGATGAAATGATCATCGTAATTAGCGGTTTCCACTGTCAGTTGAAAGGTTTCAATTGCCTGCAAACAGCAGTTGCGCCACGATGAAGAAAAAGCAAGAAGGAAAGACGGGCGAGCGCAAATGCAAGGAAAGCGGTCAGATATTGAGACAAAGTAAGTGCGGTCGATGAAGTCGCACAGACGTGGAGCCATGAGAGCTTCGACGTCTTTTCTCGTGGTTTCCGGGTTAACTTTTGGACACGTTTCGTGCGTCGTTCATCACCGCCCGTAGCCAAGTGCGTATTTATTCAGCTGTGGCGCGCTGCACAGATGAGCTCGCCCATGATGGAGGCGTGCCACGGGCAGATTGATGGCCCAGTCGCTTCCCCTCGCGATGTTCCGCGTCCGCCGTCTCGCTTTCATCCCCGACCTTACAAAATAAGCGGCGCCGGCCGCACCGGGGCGCAGCTTTGACAAATTGAACGTCGCACGCTCGTCCTCGTGTCAAAAGGGTCGATGTCGACGCGAACTACTCGGTCGCTTTCGCCGCGCTCGGCACGGGAGGCGGATGACACTAATTGAGGCTGAGATGTGTTCGTCAGACGCCTGGCAGGCGCCAAAGCGCACGTTCTCGAATACCTCTCGACTTTTTTAAGACATGCAAAAAATGTTTTGTGCAGATTGCAGCTACTATTCTGCAGTTAATCTGAACAGCAACATGTTTTAGATACTGGGTTGAATTATTTGGATATATATTGGAGATATTTTTGGGTGTGTGTTTTCCACCATATGACAGACACCCTTAAGGAATTTCTGGACGAAGTGAAATTCCCCAAATTCCCCAGCTCAACCTCCTGCAAATTTACTGGAAAACCACACCAGAGTCGGTCAAGTCTCACTGCTGGTCTCATTTTTTCTCACTTGTTGGCCGTGGGGATTCAAGGTAAAACTAAAATGAAAAAAAAAAAAAAAAATGGTTCCAAGTAAAGCGCCTGACTGAGTGATAAGGTGAGAGCAAATGTGACTGTACCTACTTGACGACTTAATTAAACGGCAACTGTGCCCGGTTCGCGGAGAGGTCACCATGGCAACAGGCTAGATGTGGACCCACGCCACTGTCTGTGAAGTGGAACAGGCGCGGCAATTTCTATCTTTTGTCTGAGAGTTTTGCAGAGCGAACCACTCGGCGGCCGGTGGCTGATTTTTCTGATTTCCTTTCATATAAGCCGACGTTGGAGTATGTTGTGAATCAAGGCGGAATCTCAGGGGGAAAGTCGGGCCACCGGAAAGCGAGCAACACGGCTTGTCCTCCATGGAGGCGTGCCACGGGCAGATTGATGGCCCAGTCGCTTCCCCTCGCGATGTTCCGCGTCCGCCGTCTCGCTTTCATCCCCGACCTTACAAAATAAGCGGCGCCGGCCGCACCGGGGCGCAGCTTTGACAAATTGAACGTCGCACGCTCGTCCTCGTGTCAAAAGGGTCGATGTCGACGCGAACTACTCGGTCGCTTTCGCCGCGCTCGGCACGGGAGGCGGATGACACTAATTGAGGCTGAGATGTGTTCGTCAGACGCCTGGCAGGCGCCAAAGCGCACGTTCTCGAATACCTCTCGACTTTTTTAAGACATGCAAAAAATGTTTTGTGCAGATTGCAGCTACTATTCTGCAGTTAATCTGAACAGCAACATGTTTTAGATACTGGGTTGAATTATTTGGATATATATTGGAGATATTTTTGGGTGTGTGTTTTCCACCATATGACAGACACCCTTAAGGAATTTCTGGACGAAGTGAAATTCCCCAAATTCCCCAGCTCAACCTCCTGCAAATTTACTGGAAAACCACACCAGAGTCGGTCAAGTCTCACTGCTGGTCTCATTTTTTCTCACTTGTTGGCCGTGGGGATTCAAGGTAAAACTAAAATGAAAAAAAAAAAAAAAATGGTTCCAAGTAAAGCGCCTGACTGAGTGATAAGGTGAGAGCAAATGTGACTGTACCTACTTGACGACTTAATTAAACGGCAACTGTGCCCGGTTCGCGGAGAGGTCACCATGGCAACAGGCTAGATGTGGACCCACGCCACTGTCTGTGAAGTGGAACAGGCGCGGCAATTTCTATCTTTTGTCTGAGAGTTTTGCAGAGCGAACCACTCGGCGGCCGGTGGCTGATTTTTCTGATTTCCTTTCATATAAGCCGACGTTGGAGTATGTTGTGAATCAAGGCGGAATCTCAGGGGGAAAGTCGGGCCACCGGAAAGCGAGCAACACGGCTTGTCCTCCTCCACCTCCTCGCGCATTCTCTCCTATTAGTTGTGTTTGCCGTGTCGTGTGGCGCACCGCAGATTCCTCCTCCGCGATGAAACACTTTTTTCTCCTCCATAATGCACCGCCAGCCTATTTATGCGGGAAGCCTTTGACGAGAAAGGAACATTGATTTGTGTGGCATTCCGCACAGGAACACTTCAGCCTTATACCGCCTTCCTCCTCCATTCCGACCCCCCCAACCACCGACATTCCTCAGGCAGTCTCTCATCCGCAGAGAAGCATCGATTGAAGCTCGCGTTCCGCTTGGGTATCTGAGGCTTAATTACAGTTGGAATGAAATCTAATCAAAGGCCAGCGGCCCTGAGAGGGAATATCACAGTCGACAGCCCGCAGGGGTTCAAGTCGCAACAATGTAGTTCGCTAGTGCTGTGGCGTCCCACCTGGCCTCCATTTTTTTTTTTTTTTTTTTTTTTTTTTTAACTGTCAAGAATGAAACGCAAGTATCTTGATTTTTTTCCCCCTCCCAAAAAAAACCCCACAACAAAAACTAGTCAACTTTGTGTCTTTGATCAAAACAAAACAAAAAAAAAATCTAAATCGGAGCATCACATTGGACGGCGACAAAAGGTAAATCAGATTTGACAGTTGCGTTTTTTTTTTTTTTTTAAAACAGTACACGACAAAAGTAATTGTATTTGTTTCAATTAAAAAATATATTTTTTGGTTTGGTTAAAAAGAAAAAAAGTCTCATTTGCAGACACATGCTTTTCATTGGAGAAGCATGACATGTAATTGGCTCATGGAAAAAAGAAAAAGAATGCACGCTTGTTACTGGACAGCAATGATTTTTTTTTTACCAAAATATACACACACACACACACACACCCCTACGGTGTCAGAGGATGTACGTCCAAATTTTGATTAAATTTTATTTTTTTTTTTGCAACAAACTAAAACAACACGGCCAGTGAAAACCAGGCATGTCTCGATGATGCTCAAAACTATTTTTTGGTGTATGTTTTGTTTGGAAAGACTTTTTTGTAAACCACGGACGAGTGTGCCCAATCCATTTTTTCATAAAGCGCCAAAAATACTTGGAAATACATGCTTTTCACCGATATGTAAATACCACTTGCTTAATGACGTGAGAACGAGCCAAGGCGCTTATGAGGCGTTGCTCACATGAGCTTTAGCCTAACGGGGTCTTGTAATGGCATGTTTGCTTTACCTAAATCTAGCACGTCAATTTAGGCATGGAGGACTTGTGACAGCACTCAAGTTGTAGGACTCCAAATGATAATAGCACCAAAAGTATTTGGTGTGAGATTGCAGCCCCTGCCCCAATATTTCAGCAAAGCGCGTATCTAACCCCGCTAGCCTGTCGTCGTCGCCTCCGCTGTACAGTTGCATGCTTCGCTCTTTCTCGGAGCGGCAGGAGGGTTTCATTTCAGCCTCTGATTTGCGTCGAGTGAGTCTGAGGTGGCGGAACATCTCATTACCACGGCGACGGGAGGTAAATACATCCATCAGTGAGGGATCGTGACGGACATCGTTAATCGATGGGGAGGAAGGGGCGGGGGGTGGTGTACCAAGATCAGCGTACCTTTGTCGCTGAAGTCGTCCACCAGGATGACCTCGGCGATGAGCTGCGGAGGCGAGCGGTTGAGGACGCTGTGGACGGTCCTCAGCAGCGACGACCAGCCCTCGTTGTGGAACGGGATGATGATGCTGGTGTTGGGCAGCTTCTCGGCGTACAGCTTCCGCTTGCAGCTATGCACAGGCAGATGTCAGCTTAATTGCAATTGATTATTGGCGGATTTGTAGTTTAGTTGGGTTGAATGCTGAAGGGCCCGTCTCCTCGCACATTTCTCAACCGATTCAGACCGTCAAGGGCTGTTCAAAAATTCAGGACACTAATTGCCATAACGAAATTCTCGGAACCGTTTGACACATTTGACCGCCTCCCTCCCCACTTCTTGACCGTTTCAAAGCATTCCAACTTCAAGGCTCACGGCGCTTCAATTAATTACGCGGCATTTCAGTTCAGCTTTTTCGGCATTCACACAAATGTCGACATCAACTGCATTATCGAGTCTGTGGCGCAGCGCACAGGCGAATACAGACGCACGGAGCCGTAAGGCGGTCTTAAACATAAGTGCCGCGTCTGAAATTTTCTCGGCATCTGGCAAAAATGCAACCGTTGCGAAAAATTGCGCGTTATTTAGAGCTTTCAAATTTTGAGCTTGATAATGTGTCAGTCGCGCGGGGGGCGTCAGCGGCGCGCCGATCAAACAGACGCCGCACGAAGAAAGTCGAAGGGAAGTCGGAGGGGAGTCGTCGGGCGTGTCTGCGTCGTGGTTGTAATGTATGCAGAGTTCCGACAGAGTCAGATGAGAGTCGTTCCAGGTCAAGGTAGGCCGGCGTTTTGTAAGCGGCGGTATCATCGCGCGGCGGCCCTTCGAGAGAAGATGGCGGCGAGGAGGAATTGGAATCTGTTTTTCAGGAAAAGGTTAAGCGTCCAGGGATGGGCTTTTGAGATTGAGAGCATGTCGGAATGTTTACGAATTGATTTACAAGGATCCAGTGGGGAAACAGTAGCTTTGCCCCGGCATTCGCGACGGCGCGAAAGGGGCTAGCAGCATCGAATTCAGCGGGGGAAAGGGAGAGCCAAATGAGTGAATGAGTTAACAATAACTTTCGGCTTTAAGACAGATGACATCAACAGATACCTCACGTGTACGAGGGAGCGTCGAGGTTCAGCACGCATCTCGTCACAGATGCTGCTCCGACAGACGCCAATGAAGGGCGCGCGCTTTGAAGTGCTTAATAGCCGCCGCCACTTTACAAAGCACCGTGAAGCTCAGGTGACGCGTTCGGCTCGCCAACATTTCCCGACGGATGACAAGGCGCAGAGAGTCGCATAACAGAAGCGACCTCGTTGATCCGTCTTGTCGGACACTCGAAAGCTGTCTCATCAACGCGGCCGCTCCATCTCGAAATACGCCTACACAGAAATGAGGTCTTCCCGACATTTAATTCTTCAAGGACTGAAAGTTCAGCGGCGGTGGGGTTGGTTGACAAGACAAAAAAAGATCTATCCTTGAGCTCATCCCTTTGAAAAGATATGTGAATAGAAATAAGTAAGATTTCCCTCAGTAGATTCCTCCGGTCGAAAATCGTGTCCCGTGGCGACTCGCATACATACGGACTCCTCCAAAAGTATCGGCACTGCAAGGTCGCAAGGTCAATTCATTTGTTTGTGTTGTCGACTGACGACAAAGCCTTCAAACAAGTGCAAGTTGAACACACAAGACAGCGGCAACGCACTGTTGCTGCTCTGAACCGATGTTGCCTCTTCTCTCAGCTTCCGAATGCTGAGCTTTTCTCCCACACGGGAGGGTCTCTCCGGTCTGGACGGGAATATTCCCGCGAGGTTAGCGACACGACTTACTTTGGGTGGCGGATGTCCGGAAGGGAGCGGTTGAGCGAGATGCGGTCGCTGACGTAGATGTTGAAGCCGTTCTCCCTGTAGGCCAGGTCCACCCGGTCGGCCTCGGATACGGGAAAAGGTTTTCCCTGTTCGCCGTTTCCTAAAGGGAGAACACATCAAAGGATCGCATGATCTGCGGTTGAATTCACAGTAAGAAGGAAGAAGGGCGCAGGTACAATGATTGTTAATCGTTCCTTTCGAGCGGCGCGTCCGAATAAAGGCGCTCCGGTTTGCCTCTCGTCAACTCGCTCAAAAGGCGGCGGGGGTGTTCGCGGCGAGGTTGAGCCAGTCAGAAGACTTCATCAAATTACACGGAGACGCCGTGTTCCATTAAGCGGGCGCGATCTGTCGGTTTTACCGCTGATAGGCCAAGCGAGCGAGATCAACTCCTCTAATTGACGTTTTGTCCCGCGCCGCATGGACGGATCGCGTTTACCTCCGACTGATACGATGCCTGAGAAATACAAAAACATGAAAGCGCCGTACATCCGCTTCCGATTGGGGCTCGTTTAGGCAAATTCCTTCAGCGCGACTTGATCAAAGTACACGCATTGCATTTCGTGCTACAAACCAAAATGGCTGAATTCCGAAGCTGCGTCCGGGAGACTTTTTTGTGAGCTCTCTATTACAATAGACATCTCCGCCGAGTTCTTTGTCAGGCTGGAAAACGGCTGCATGAGGCTCATTACTTCAACCCTTCAAATAGGTGCTAATGAGGTTTTCTTTTTTTTTTTTTTGGAAGATCATAAATAAAAGCCTCCACCCCCGTGGCCACTATTTTCTCCAACAATTGCTCAGCATCAGTGTTTATCCATCATCTCGGTCCCTGTGGTGACGTTGGGTTTCTCATTTACAACAACTGCAGGAGCTCGACTGCGCTCCCACTCGCTTGGCGGCCAAATACTTTTCATCTCATTAACAAATCAGCCGTCGGTTTAATTTGGCATGAAGAAGGGGAAAGTGGCTTTCGCGGGTAAGACGAGAAGCAGCATCGGTGCCGATGGTCTCGACCGTTGGTTTGAATCGACTCGGATGGGTGAACGACACACACGATGCATTTTCTCAATAATTTCGTTTTTTTTTTTTTTTGGTTGTCTTGAGCAATGGAGAGAATAGCTACCCATACATCCACAACATCAGCATGAAAACAGGAGCTCAGAACATTCAGAGAGCACATTTTTGCCTCCCCCCGACACACACACACACACTCACCAACTCGAGCGGCGTCCCTTCGCATGGCATCGTAGTCGTGCCAGTCGGTCCGTCGCACGCCGTCTTGCCCAATTTGGGCGACCTTCCTCATCTGGTTCAGCCCCTGCGGAGGGAAAGACACATCGCCGATGTGGTCGGTTACCCGATTTGTTTGCTGGGGGCTAGCGTGATAATCAAGGTAATGTTTTTAAATGGTTTTACTTTGCCTTGGCTTTGACTTGACTTTAGGCTTTAATGTGTAGGTTGATTTTAGTTTGTTTTTTTTTTACTGCCCCCGGTGGCCAAGGGGAGCACACCATAAGGAGCAGCACAATGTCAATGTCATGCACAAACTGTCTAATAATTTTCATTTGATGTAATTATTATGCTCATACCGTATGCATTAATAAAACGCAATAATGCTATTTTTCCTCGTTAAAAAATTTTTGGGGTGTTTTTTGTGGAGCTCGAACCCATTTTTTGAGTTTTCTTTCATATCGATGGGGGAGGCTGATTTGAGAGATTGATTGGTTTGGGAGTCGAGTGTGGTCACAGAATGAATAAAACCCAGGACTTTTTCAATTTCAGCACATGAAATGTTTGACATTTTTCTTGTAACATTCCGCCTTTAATCTCAACTCCCTTCTCGTGACATTTTCGCAATTGTCATCACATCAGATTACGACTTTCACGGTACCGCGTTTGGATTTTTTTTTGCAATTTTCCGATACTTTGCAATACTGTGGTGATTTTGTGCCGATGTTCCGTTCCAGTTTGATGCTCATGACGGCAACGTAACAACATGGCTCAATTTGCCGGCTCTCGCATCACAGCCTTCCCGTGACTCTCGCGTCCGGCTCGCAAGCGCCTCTGGTGAGCAGCCTCCTTTCGCATGCGTTGCTGCCAACAAAAGCCATTTTGTTGAGGACGTTCCAAATCCCACAGAAAGAGCGATAAGACCACCGCATCCCGTTCATTCTCTCAACACCCCGCCGGGGTCGATACTTCCCTCTTTCAGCTTCCTCCCCGCCACCCACTGAGAGATAGCAGTCGCTTGTTGGTTCCACCCCTCCTACTCGCATTCTCAGCGCTTCCTCGTCTGCTGCTAAGTCCGCATTGAACCCCCCCAACCCCCTTCCCACTCCTCAAGAGATGCAATTACCTCGCCACCTCTGCTCGCTTTTGGTCAGCCACTTCTCGCACCAGCGAGTCAATCAGGACCAAAAACTTATTTGGGTGTCTTTCAAGGGCCATTCAATGCACTGAATCAAACCACAAATGCACATAAAACGGCTGCTGAGGTTACAGCTGTGGTGATGTGATATTTTTTATTTTTTTTTTAGAAAAAGTATTTTACTGATTGAACTGATGAATTGGATAAAATTTGCTTTTTGCATGTTTATTAAACGCAATAAAGTGCATGTGGGATACAGGTCTCGTTTTGGTTCACTTCCTCACGTTCAATTGCAGAATTGTTGTTTGATTCATCGTTGCAGCCTTACAGTGTAAACTCAAAATGGAAACGCCCCAAAAATGGACAAATTCAGGATGAAAATTTGGGCGGCGAAAATGTGCCGCAAAACATGTGCAAAAACTTCAAACCATGCAAAAGGCAACAGTATCAGTTGTTAATACTGAAATTAATAACGACAAAAGTCCAAATGTAAAGACACCAAACGTTCTAAAAACAACATTGGGGGGGATAATTTGCCTAAAAAAATCTGACAAAAACATCACATTTCCAATAGACAATGTGCCACAAAGAAAAATAGTGCTGATGTTGACGGGTAATACTAACGCATGCAGTGGAAACTCAAAATTTGAACACCTCTAATGGTCATACATTTTTCGCAAATTGACCAAATTTTTCTGCAAAAAAAATTCTCAACAAGACAGTATTGATTATTACTACTGACATTGTAGAACAGTAGTACCACAAAATTTGGGTGAGAAAGAATAGCCTCTGAAGTCACACAAAAACTTCGACCCACAAAAATATTTATCTTAATGTTGATCTGCTTGGCTACACCTCACGGTGATAAACGGAGGACTCCCATCGCGACGCGCCACCATTCACGTTTTGTTCGGCTCGACGATTTGTAAACAACGCCACCACAGACAAATTAAGAACAAAACGCCCGTCTCCGCTTTGTGTTTGGCTGATCCCAATGGGCTGGTACGACTTCAGTGGAGTAGCTAGCAAAAAAAAAAAAAAAATCAATACACTAATCCCATTCAGCCTTTTCACACATAAGTCTTGTTAGAGCCGTTTGTAGCGCACATTTGCTTCCCCTTGTTGGTTTGCGTCTGCTTCGCTCGGAGATGACACGGCGAGCGCGGGAAAGCAGCCGAGCGAGATCAGAGCGGATTAAATGCGACGAGACGAGGCCTGATATGCCAGATGAAATAGAATGCAGAGGAACTACATTCATAAGATGTGTTGCCCCCAGGGAAGAGGGTATTGGGGGGGGGGGCTTACAACCCCCCTCTAGCAGTCTTCCATCTGAATTTGGATTTCTTTTTTTGGTGTTTTGTGTTTAACATCTTAGCGGCAGAACAGGAGAAGCACCGAGGGAGCGTTGATGTCGGCCAAGACCTAGCCAAATCCACGCCCATTGCTTCCAAAGATTGTTAACGCCACCATGGTACCCTCAAATTGCAGCACTCCCAGATTTTTACAATTCGGAAAGTGGACATTTGAAAAAGGTACCTCAAAAGTTGCATCAAGCAACTTTGAACCCCCTCTAAAAGAACATCATTCTGTGGAATGACTGTCGATGCTCTTATCGTGATTTTTTTTTTTTTTGGGGTATGTCATGCCGTTGCATCATTGCTGTTACGTTTATATAGTTGCGTCATGTTGTTAGGTGACGTTGTCGCATCACGTTGTTGCAACACATTGTTACGCTACGTCATTACGTTACAGTGGTTCTTTACGTTGGTACGTTCCGTTTGCCCGTTACATTGCTGTTACGTTATTACATCACGTTGTTAGGTTACGCTGCGTTACGGTATGCTACTATGCTGCACTGTTTTGCTGTTACGTAGCATCGCTACATTGCATTGTTCCATGATGCTGTTATGTTACGTTGTTACATTGCGCTTTTTCATGATGTTCTGTTGACGCAATTATATCACGCTAGTTACGTGAAGTTGTGTTAAGTTGCGACAGAGTACTGCTACGTTACACCGGCGTGTCATGCTGTTACATTATACCGTTACGTCCCTTTGTGCTGTCATGTTATCCTCCAGCATTATTACGCCGTGTTCCATTGTATGTTTTTACATTGCGGTGACCCATTATGTGGTTACATTGCACAGTTACATCGTTACGTTGCCTTGCCTCTGGTTCAAAGTGTTTCATTTCCATGTGTTGGTGCATTTTCACTGGTGCTATGCTAGGCTGTTGCTATGTGGTGACGTTACGATACGTTGCCTTGGGAGCATAAATAGTCCAATCCAGTCCAACATGTAAACGGAGTGTTTCATTTTTTTCTGTACAAAGCCCATCCAACTATTGTCTGCCATTAGTTGACAAAAGAGACGTTTCTGTGGAGTTAAAAAAAATTAAAAATGTAACCGCCGGATCTAAATTAAAGTCGTGAATGCCATTGTGCAAAAATAATTAAAAAGCCCAGATTTCAGTTAACTTTGGGAATCCCTGCGAGTCCCTAAGAAAGAAAAAAAAAATGAAGCTCATTTACGAATAGCTGCCAATTGATAAATGGATCAATTCTGCTGTGATGGCATATCACGCAATTAGCTATTAAGGCTGTTAAAAATCACCGGGGACCAGAGAAGCAAGCTATAGCGGGAGAAGATGATGAAAAAAGTTAATGAAATTGGTTCCACATGTGTCGACTTTCAATAAAAATGAGATGTGTGCCGTTTAAAAGGTTATTAGGGAGAAGGTCACGCGCAACTCTCAGTTGGAAGGACGTTAATAAACTGCACTTTTTGGGTGGCATTTCCATTTTCATTGTTTGTCATTAAACACAGACAGGACTCAATAACTCAGCTGTTAAATAGCAGTCAGTAAATGACGACAGGAATGATTGCTTTTGTGTTAAAAAATAAGTACATCAAAAATAACCTGCTGACTCTAATATTTTGTCTCTGGCCTCTCGCGACGGGGAATCATTTCAAAATATTAGGAGCAGCAAATTGCAATCCAAGACCACTGCAAACTGCCAACACAACATGCAGCCATCTATTGTTTCCTCATCATTTTACCCAAAGACAGCTGGGATAAGCTCGACTTATCAAAAATGGACAGAAATGATTTACTATTCCACTTCTCTCACCAGATGTCGGCCAGGATTGATTTGAATTCACAAATGATGTGTGTGTGTGTGTGTGTGTGTGGCTAACCACGCTTGCAAACTGAAGGCAATGTTTGACACTGCAGCCCAGTTTAATATTTGCATATTGGTACATTCCAGAATTGGAGGAACGTTTCTGTCCACCTAATAGACAACCATTTTTTTCCCTCAAGTCTGGTGGAAAATGGATGCATGGGGCCCACTTCTCGAGCCTCAAGTTAGCCAGTTATAGGGCTCAAGTCATCAAAAATGGATGTCAAAGATTTTACATCACACTTCTCTTGACAGAAGTCAGCCAGGATAGGCTCGACATGCGAGCCTTTATGAGTCCAAGTGGTATAGAAAATGGATCGACAACATGTCTCTTGCCAAATCACTTTCGGTCCTGTCATGGGAAATGGGTTGCACTGGAAAGTATTAGATACCCCGTTTCTCTCACCAAATGCCAGTCGGGACGGACGGAAATTGTTTGTCCCACTTAGATACATGATGGATGGCAGGATAACAGCCCATTGTACACTCCACTTCTCTTGCCAAAATGACACTATGCTCAGCTCCAGGTATCCAAAATGCCAAGTAAATTAGGAAATCAATAACATCAAAAAAGGTGGAAGTTTTCTCCAAGGTCCTCGCATTGGCTCACGTTATGGGGTACCTAATATTTCGACCAGTGGGTGAAGGTGTTACCGAACTTGAGCCCGAGTTGAGCTTCCAAATCGCCCGAGCCTGGTTCAGAACCATGGAGAGCCCCTCCGGCTCAGCACACCAACCACACAAAGCGTCACCCGGCGGTGAGAAAGTAGAATACCCCCGCCACGAACCGCCTCCGCCGACTCACCTGCGTCTGCTGGCCGCCGCCGGGTCCGTCCGCCGCGTTGGCCGCCGGTCTGTCGAACACCCGGTCCCGGTACAAGGACCACAGGCCGACGTTGGGGAGGAAGAGGAGAGCCGCAATGAGCAGCCCCGCGAACTGCAGCAGCCTCTTCTCCTTCCGCCTCATCGCTCCGGGAGAAGAACAACAAGCCGAAGGAACGCAGCGGCAGCGGCCGTGCGGAAGTGAACAAACCCCGGCTGTCTGGCTGGCTACTGTTCTCCCCCTCGCGCTCCTCCTTCTCCTCCGCAGCCAACTTTCACACTGCGAGCCAGACGCCGACGCGCAGCGATTTCAAAGTAATGTGCATTCGGAAGCAAACGTCACTTCTGATAGCGCTTTTCACAATAACAGCACATATTACAGAATTATTTTAAAACGAACAGTTCTCTGTTACCTTTCTAAGAACTACATCCGGTGCCCAGTACGACATCTATGGTTACTTTTCGCTTGTCGCCTGTATATGACGTCACACTGTGCGCCGTTTTCTTTTGTGGTGATCGTATAATTACTGAACGTCACGTATGTTATATTATATATTATATTGACCACGATCATGTAAAAAATGTATTTTCCCCCCAAAGTTAAGGTTTGGATGACTAAAATGACCTTCGGGTTACAGCGCTACAGCGCCACCTGTTGCTGTGGCATGACAGCATACATTTCTTTTTTTTTTTTTTAAACACCATTCTTTTGGGTTAAAAAAATATATATATTGATGCTGCATTAAATTAAAGTAGGCTGAGCACAAGTATGATGTGTACAACGAGGAATTCATACAAGCCAAAGACAGTCAATCAATCAATCAATCAGTCATTCTGGCATGAAGTCAATAATGGTTTCCTCTTTTTTTTTTTTCATTATTTCCTTCCCAAGCCTGCAGTCATAAATCCCAGAGCCCCGTTCACGGACTCATCCATAATTCATGCCGATGGAGACACTGAACCGATTGAATTGTCACAACCGGGCGGGCCGGCGATAAAGCTTTTCTCCCCGCTGGCCGTCCAGAGGTCCGGATTAGCCGGAGTGAGGTGTTGGCCGGCGTGCGTGTTGCGCGTGAGCGGTTGATTGCCTCGGATTTGGAAGGGCCCTCGATTATGAATGTAGATAAGTAAGCGTGTCAGAGGGGGCAAATGGCCTGCCGCTTGAGACAATGATGGATCATTGCAGGGCGTTTACTGGGGTCGAGAGGTCAAGTTTTCAGCTTTGCCATACAATGTGTAGGGCACAACCCCAATTATTTAACTTCTAATGAATGCATCAATCTGAGTGTTTACATTCTTCAACTTTAGATGATATTCAGTATTTTCTCCGAGGCGTGTGATTAGGGGGAAGGCATTTATTAATGGGCGGCTGGAAGTGACTTGACAGTAGCAGGCGTCTGAGAGCCTCCACTTCTCTTCAAGCGACGTATGTTGCGGTAAAGACGTCAGATAGCATCTACTGTGTTTGAGGTGCGGCATTAGTTACTCAAGTAGATGCACTGGTAATAAATGGGGGTGTGGCGTTTATAAGAGCACTAGACCCTATTTAAGCGGCGCCTGATTAGTCCTTAATTGTTCAGCAACTTTACAGATGCCACCTCCACTCTTCACTGCGGTGAAGATGTCCAGAGTGACACACGGTGGAAAAGGAAAAGTGTTTACTTGAGATGATGTGCTGATTTATTTCTGCAAACAATGTACCCAGTGATAAATTGGAGCTAGTAGTGCGGAGGTCACTGTTTGAGCAGCATCTAATGAGCCTTTGATTGCCACCGATGCTCTCCAGACACTGTGTGTGGCGGCGAGGATATCCAGGGCGACACGCGGTGGAAAAAGGGAAGCGTTTATTTGAGGAGGGTGTTGATTTATTCCAGTGGATGTATTTTAGGATTAATTGGAGAGCCTGCTAATTAGAGCATTTCAGAAAGCTTCGTCTTTAATCGCTCTACAGTTGCCAGCTCTACTTTCCTGGCAATGTGAGTAAAAAAAGGTTGATTTAATTACGTCTGAATTTCCAACATGCCTCTTTTTGCATCAACTTACCAGTTTGAAATGCAAATTCCAGCCAATTATCTCACGCCGCGTCGCCTTTTCGGCTGACGCGTCACACCTTCAAACGACGAGACGAAAATCCAGTCATTTCATCGCTCAGCATTGGTCAAATGGCAATCAAGGGTTTGTTTACAAGTGGAAGAATGTGATATCAGGGTGAAAATTGAATGATAAACTGGTACCCCCAAATACTAACATGCCCCACCGCCCTTTGGGATGCCGCCGTGTGTTTTTGAAACAAGCCGAATGACCATTCGCCGAGCATTACCGCTGGCTCTCTTCCGCCGCAGATAAAGCAGGTAAATGGTGCCTCGTGACGAGCCGGCGGCCAACACACCTTCCTGCCAGTGGACGCCATACTGCGCATTTCCCTCCAGCTTCCGACTCATTACGCGCCAAATTGCGACCTGAGCAGCAACTGGCGCTGGGGCTTTTATTACCATCGTTATTATGCTCATGACTTTTAGCTCTAAATGCTCCAAACACTTACGATTCGTGGAAGGCAATGTTTGACACTGCAGCCCAGTTTAATATTTGCATATTGGTACATTCCAGAATTGGAGGAACGTTTCTGTCCACCTCCTGAAGTTTCAAAGAGCCCATGTGTAAAATATAGACACATACACTTGTGTAATTATAAAAGTGCCTCCGAAATATTCGTTAAAATATCAAATAACTGGTGCGCATCCCATATAGTGGCTTTTTTACCCCCTCATGCCCCCCAACTGCCAACTTAATATTAAAACAAGTTTTAAATCTGCTTCTTTAAAATATGATTTTATTGACATGTCTTAATGTCATTGTTAAAACATTTTGTTTCATCGCAATAGCAATTACACTCTGAAGTTGTAGCTGAACATACACGCACGCAACTAGTTACCCAACAACAGCAAAAAAAAAAAAAAAAAAGGGAGCAACACGACTCGGCTGGAATGTCATCATCAAGCGAAGCTTTTCGTATGTTCGTCAATGTTTTCAGCAGCGCTGGAGGGCGTCACTGTTACTCATAATATCCGAAAAAGACACATTCATATCAAAGCTGAGTTTGTTTTTGACCAGTTAGCATGACGGCCGACACGGCTGGCTTGTATTTATGAGCACAAAAAACAAAACAAAACTGAAACATTCGCATTGATTTGCAATCGCGTGACGGTAATTCGAATAATGTTGAAATAAAATGTACGTTTATTTAATTGTAAAGGTTTTATTTGGCAAATTTTGAATCTCACGATGAATGAAATAGAAACCGTTGATGGTTGAACTGGATGAGTCAAATGGTTATGGTTGATGACTTGTTAGGAACGCAGCGGCAGCGGCCGTGCGGAAGTGAACAAACCCCGGCTGTCTGGCTGGCTACTGTTCTCCCCCTCGCGCTCCTCCTTCTCCTCCGCAGCCAACTTTCACACTGCGAGCCAGACGCCGACGCGCAGCGATTTCAAAGTAATGTGCATTCGGAAGCAAACGTCACTTCTGATAGCGCTTTTCACAATAACAGCACATATTACAGAATTATTTTAAAACGAACAGTTCTCTGTTACCTTTCTAAGAACTACATCCGGTGCCCAGTACGACATCTATGGTTACTTTTCGCTTGTCGCCTGTATATGACGTCACACTGTGCGCCGTTTTCTTTTGTGGTGATCGTATAATTACTGAACGTCACGTATGTTATATTATATATTATATTGACCACGATCATGTAAAAAATGTATTTTCCCCCCAAAGTTAAGGTTTGGATGACTAAAATGACCTTCGGGTTACAGCGCTACAGCGCCACCTGTTGCTGTGGCATGACAGCATACATTTCTTTTTTTTTTTTTTAAACACCATTGCTTTGGGTTAAAAAAAATATATATATATAAATAAAGTACTAATAATAATATTGTAAAACAATGAAATAAAAAAGCAACCACATTTGAATAGGTTTTTCTCATATTTTATTTTTAAAAGTCACTAACATTAACGCATTACCCACCTCGGTATCTCTCTCATTCTCTGACTTTGTCATGCCTTTTTAAAAAAAAAAATTATTTATTTTAATTTTAATGCGAAGGATTCTCACAGCTCTTCCGCCGGTTTACTGCTACTCAGTCACGCTTGATGCTGCATTAAATTAAAGTAGGCTGAGCACAAGTATGATGTGTACAACGAGGAATTCATACAAGCCAAAGACAGTCAATCAATCAATCAATCAGTCATTCTGGCATGAAGTCAATAATGGTTTCCTCTTTTTTTTTTTTCATTATTTCCTTCCCAAGCCTGCAGTCATAAATCCCAGAGCCCCGTTCACGGACTCATCCATAATTCATGCCGATGGAGACACTGAACCGATTGAATTGTCACAACCGGGCGGGCCGGCGATAAAGCTTTTCTCCCCGCTCCGGATTAGCCGGAGTTAGGTGTTGGCCGGCGTGCGTGTTGCGCGTGAGCGGTTGATTGCCTCGGATTTGGAAGGGCCCTCGATTATGAATGTAGATAAGTAAGCGTGTCAGAGGGGGCAAATGGCCTGCCGCTTGAGACAATGATGGATCATTGCAGGGCGTTTACTGGGGTCGAGAGGTCAAGTTTTCAGCTTTGCCATACAATGTGTAGGGCACAACCCCAATTATTTAACTTCTAATGAATGCATCAATCTGAGTGTTTACATTCTTCAACTTTAGATGATATTCAGTATTTTCTCCGAGGCGTGTGATTAGGGGAAAGGCATTTATTAATGGGCGGCTGGAAGTGACTTGACAGTAGCAGGCGTCTGAGAGCCTCCACTTCTCTTCAAGCGACGTATGTTGCGGTAAAGACGTCAGATAGCATCTACTGTGTTTGAGGTGCGGCATTAGTTACTCAAGTAGATGCACTGGTAATAAATGGGGGTGTGGCGTTTATAAGAGCACTAGACCCTATTTAAGCGGCGCCTGATTAGTCCTTAATTGTTCAGCAACTTTACAGATGCCACCTCCACTCTTCACTGCGGTGAAGATGTCCAGAGTGACACACGGTGGAAAAGGAAAAGTGTTTACTTGAGATGATGTGCTGATTTATTTCTGCAAACAATGTACCCAGTGATAAATTGGAGCTAGTAGTGCGGAGGTCACTGTT